ATGAGAATTTCATACATGTGTATATATATATATACATGCACGTTTATTCCTGCACAACATCCTGGGAATGGCTCGTATCGGCCTTTTTTCATTCTTAGTTTGACAATTTCACGAGCCTTTACTATTCATTAATTTAGAAGTAATCAAACTTTACCTGTAAAAAAACCCCATAACCTGTGAGGAAGAAAGTCCTCAAGTTCCTATGGAAACCCATGGAGAGGGAAATATCCAAATCTTTCTTGAATTCTTTGAATCCGTCCATTGCGAGAAGAAAAGTAATCAACCTTCAGTATGCAATTCGACCTCCTTTGATAAAAATTTAAAAAGGAGAAAATTTTTACTTCCTTAAAAAAATAATATTTCCAAGAATCAGGATAAAAGACTTTAATGACCAAAATAATAAAGAAAACGATTCGGTCACTGCTTAGGAACTCATTGAAAAATTAAAACAATTTAAATCTAAACGAATAAATATATGTATATCTGGTCATGAAGAGCCGTTTGCAGGATGTTGTGCGGAAAATATGCGTGTATATATATGTATATACAGGGTGATTTAGAACAACCCGTTATCTTTGAAAATACATATTCTTGACTAAATTCTAAGACAACTTTTTATTTGGCAAAATTTTGTCTGAAGCTTACTTTTTGAGTTACTAATAAAAATAGTTGACGTACCATGAGTCGGATTGAAAAGGTAGGCAGGGGCGACGCAACTTACCGTGATTGACAGTGATTTTTGTGATGCACGGATTTAAATGATACAAATTACAAACGAGTAAATAAATAAGTGAGAGGAAAAGAGAGAGAGAGAGAGAGAGAGAGAGAGAGAGAGAGAGAGACAGAAAAAGATACAGAAACAGTGCGTAGCGATCAGCTGATCGCGTCAGGCACCACACGTAATTGCCTGACGGTGAGTCGCGCCACTCCTGCCTACCTCTTGGATCCGACTTGTGGTACGTCAACTATTTTTATTAGTAACTCAAAAAGTAAGCTTCAGACAAAATTTTGCCAAATAAAAAGTTGTCTTAGAATTTAGTTAAGAATATGTATTTTCAAGGATAACGGGTTGTTCTGAATCACCCTGTATATACATATATACGGTTCTTCATGACCAGATATACATATATTTATTCGTTTAGAAACATTGAAAGCCCGAGATGATTCTCTATTAAGTAATAATTTAAATCTAATATTCCTAAAAGTTTTTGCTCATAAAGTCCGTATTAATCCATCTCCTAAAGCAATAGAATCTGCTCGAATTAAGTCGGAAGAAATAATTGATAAATTTATGAGACTTTGAAATTTAAAAAATAAAGCGGAAGTGCTCGACAAAAATCAACAACAACTTTCTTGCGGTGAAGAGAGCTTCTCGGGTTACAACGCAGGCAACTGCCTAGTCGCGAAGGAAAAAATCAGAGTCCCATGGAAATTCCAAGAGATTTTCGAAAATTGTGGAGTAGTTGCGTATAGATCATTTAAATAAGCAAGAAACAAATGATGTAATAAATCTAACACATTTTTAAACACATTTCATCCGAGATTGCAATTCACATATAAATTGCAGTCTAATGACGGTCTGAGTTTTTTAGATTTACGTATCAACATACTGTTATAAGTTACGTGTTATATATTATATACTATGTATTATGTAACATATTAAGTAATGATAGAATATCATTTAAACGTGGGTTTTAAGTTACTAGGTGTAGTTGTGTTAAAAAGGGGAACTGGAATCCGGCACAGATGTCCAGTCAGCAGTCGCGGGGCACTATGCAACCGCGCGCTCAAGGACATACCGGTTGAAGATCGCACATGCAGCCGAAAAGATGCAATGGTCTGCATTGCACTTTTTGAGAACCGGATGTCGCCTGATTTTCTTCGGCCAATCACAAAGTAATTAGCTCGAGGATAAAAGCCGGTGTCCGAGCAGGTGCGGGTAGAATCGTCCCGAATAGTGTCGCGGCCGGAGGCTCTACGCGACACAGCATCGCCTGTTCGCACTTAGAAGAGTAACGCGGGTGTTTGCAATACGACTTGTTGTAACACCTTAATTATTATCATTGTTTTGTACGAAGTTTTGTTAAACAGCACATATCTGTAAGTTAACATATTAATCTTAGTTTGCGCATTTACGTTTATAAAAAAATCTTAATATTTTGCTATATTATATTTGTAGAATTTGATAAAGACCTAAACCAAAGGTTGAAACGTTATTTATATACATTATGAATAAATAATATTACCATCACATATTCGCACAACAACACCTGTGTATTTAGTTCCCTGTTTGTCACGTTAAAATTTAAATTTTTTATCTTTTTGTTTTTTAAGTCACAAGATGGGTACTATTTTTACATTAGTGGATAAAGCCATTTTATTATCAGACCCAAAATTTCATCAAAAGAATTTAGTATTTTGCGTCAACGTATTAATCTCCAACAATTATCCATTACATTTTATATTCCAAATGATTAACAAGAGACTTAAATCGTTATTTTCTTACAAATTAAACAATCACTGTGAGTTTTCTGAGTCTGATGATGCTCGAGAATCTAAAACATGTTACTTTGTTTTACCTTTTACGTTAAATTTAAGTAATTATAATTTATCTAACATCATAACAAACAACATGCAAAGTAAACCGGCATTAAGAAATTTGAACAACCTCAGTCAATTCATCAAAACACATAAAGATCCAGTTCCTAAATTAAAAAGAAGGAATGTAGTTTATCACATTAAATGCAAAAATTGTGATGCCTGCTATATAGGTCAAACCAAACGTCAATTAGAAACACGAATCAGAGAACACATTTACGCAATTAAAACAAAGCAATGTAATTCTGTGATTTTTGAAGATTGTTTTGACAGAAGACATTCTTTCGATTTTGATTCTGTAAAGATCCTAGATAAAGAAACAAATTATTGCAAGAAATTAACCTCTGAAATGTTGAACATTAAACTTTCCAACAACACCATCAATGTTATGCAAGATACAGCCTTGCTTGATAATGCTTATTTACCTATCCTTTGACAATTTCAATAATAGTCCCTACAGATAGTGTTACTTCCATCCAAAACTCTCACAAACAACACTAGTATGATAACATTTTTGTAACGACACATGTAAATTATGAACACTTTGTTTTTCTTTTGAGACTTGTTGCGTATTTGTAAGTAATTTTATATGCACTATCAATTTATTGTATTAAACGCTTCTTAATTTGTAACCAATTGTATAACAGACCACTGAAGATGACTACAAAATAAAGTCAAAACGTTTGGTGAATTCAATCTTAGGATTTCTTTGGCATAACATCTTGCAATCGGTTCTTTTAGCTTCACACTATTTCATTATTAATAAATCTAATAAAAACCAGTCAGATAGAATTTCATATTTCCGGAGAACAATTAACTGCAACTCACGTGCTCCAACATAGCATAAAAACAGGAGACGAGCAACCGATAAATACTCGTCAGTACCGATTTCTTTAAATCCACAAAGATGAAATAAATAAGCAAGTACAAGAATTATTAAACAGAAAAATAGTAAAACCATCACAGTCACCGTACAATACGCCTATATGGATAGTGCCTAAAAAGGAAGATTCTTAGGGAAATAAATGTTGAAGAATGGTGTTGGATTTTTGCACGTTGAACGGAAAAACAATCGGACATGCTTATCCGTTGCCTAACATTGTGGATATTTTAGATCAGTTAGGAGAAGCTCAGTACTTCTCCGTGCTAGATTTAGCATCTGGTTTCCATCAAATAAGAATGGACCCTGCCGATAGTCATAAAATTGCGTTTACGACTTTGTTTGAGCATTATGAGTTTGAGAGAATGCCTTTCGGTCTAAAAAACGCTCCAGCTACTTTTCAAAAACTTATGGACATTGTTTTGTCTGGACTGCAAGGGCAAGAATTGTTTGTATACATGGTTGCATAAACCACATCCATACATGGAAGAGCATCATGAAAGAGCATCAAAGAAAATATAACGCTTTAATAGATCAAACGACAAGCAAATTTAAAATTACAACCTGATAAGTGCGAGTTTTTAAAAACCGAAGTTATTTACCTAAGGCATGTAATTAGTAAAAACGGAGTCCGGCTAGATTCAAAGAAATTAGAAGCAGTTCGTAATTCCCTCAAACCTAAAACTCCTAAAAACATCAAACAATTTCTCGAACTTGCAGGTTATTATAAAAGATTTATTCAGTTTCTCAAAATTAGCTAAATCTTTACAAATTTATTAACAAATTTATTAAAAAATAATACACGATTTGAGTGAGGACTGCTCAAGATCAGTTATTTGAAATATTAAAACAAAAATTATGTGAAGAAATGTGTTACAATATCCAGATTTTTTGAAGCCTTTTATTTTAATTACTGACGCTCAGAAATAGCCGTAGGAAGAATTTTATCGCAAGGAGAGATAAACAAAGACAGACCGATAGCTCACGCTTCTCGCACGTTGACAGATAACGAATTGAAGTACGACACATACAAAAAGAAAGCTCTAGCCATAGTTTATTGCGTTAAACATTTTAGACCGTATTTATATGGACGCAAGTTTACAGTGGTCACCGATCATAAACTCTTGATGTGGTTTAGAAAGACGCAAGATGCAAATATGCGCATACTTCGCTAGAGATTAAAATTAGCAGAGTATGATTATGAAATAGTGTTGCTAAGTCCGCACTATATTTTAGACTTATATTATTTCTTTTAAGACTCTTGCATATAACTTAACCTAACCTAACCTTGTCCTAACCTAACCTAACCTTGTCACCGGTTATCTGGGTAACGCCATGGAGGACTGGAGAGAGCATAGCGGTGGTGGGGGTAGAAATTTTGTAATCGGAAATTACGTCATAGAAGACCGCCTATAACGCGCTTTCTACCGTTAGTTGCGCTGCAGTCGATATACACCGAATCCTTTTCTATATCTTTTCTTGATCTACGGTTGCATTCGAGCGTATCCATTACCATGTCTTGCCTTGATCGGCTTGAAGCGTTGCGTATTTTTCGATTATTAGTGATTATTAATTATATTACAATAATAATGGTTAGTTGCGCGGCGTGCTCCATCACAAAGTCAAAAAATTGTGGATTTACTTTTCATTCGTAAGTAAAAGTAATAAATGCTGATAAATTATACTCCATGAATTTATACTACTTTTTATTATTTTATAATATCTTTCAGTTTTCCAAAAAATGACCAAAAGTGTAAGGTATGGGTTAATTTTGTGGGGAAAAAAAACTGGAAACCACAAAGAAGTCATGTTTTATGTTCAAGACACTTCTCTCAAGATTGCTTTGATAAAACATCAAGAACTATAACACGCCTGAAACCAGATGCAGTCCCAACAATAAACATAACACGGATAAAGCATGTAAGTTTCACAATAAGTCATACATAGAGAAATTGAATTGAAAGTATAAAAAGTTATTTTTCAATTTCAATTTCTCACGTATCAACGTATTAACAATATGATATCCGGGATTGTCTTTTCAAGTTGTATTAATATTTTTATATACTATATACTATAATACTTACTCAAAAGTATATTGTATAGGTGCAGCAGCAAAATCAAGTGGAAGTTGTAAAACTAAAATCGGAAAAAACAATTGGAAATGAAGTACGTGATACAGTTACACCAGAACCCNAAAGTACGACTGATGTTTCTTTCGTTCCAAGTGTCAATGACACACCTAGGAAGTTAGCATTGAAAAGGAAAATTCAAGAAATCGAAGACATGAATGTGATCCAGTCGAAAAANATACNACAGTTGCAACTGCAGAACCAGTACCGAAACCGAAAGATATTAAATATTAAAGGGGTAATGAACATTCTAAAAAAAAACAAGCTATTACAAGAAGAAGAAACTAAAGTGTTATTAAAAAATTTTGAAAATAACAGTGATATTGTCGAACGTTTATTTGGAAAAAACGGGGAAAAAACCAGAACACACGAATATTCAGAAAATATTAAAAAATTCGCAGTTTCATTGCATTTTTTGTCGCCAAAAGCATACAATTTTGTACGTGAAAAGTTAAATNGTAGTTTGNCTCATGCAAAAACGATTAGCAAATGGTATTGCAATGTTAATGCTGCACCAGGGTTTTCCAAAGAAGCGTTTGAAATAATTGAAACTCGAGTCAAATATTCAAAAAAAAAAAAATGCTTTGTTCATTAGTATTTGATNAAATGGCCATTCGCAAATATATAGAATGGGATGGTCATCGTTATTATGGTTTGGTAGATTTNGGTACTGGTATTAGCTATGAATCTATGGGTGCGGCGANTCAAGTTTTAACATTTATGCTAGTCTCTATTGATGAATCATGGAAACTTCCTCTTGGATATTTTTTTATTAACAGCTTAGATAGTACTCAAAAAGCAAAATTATTAAATCAATGCTTAAATTTATTATTTGAGTCTGGCATACCTGTAACGAACGTAACGTTTGATAGTACACAAGTTAATTTCGGTGTTTCTAAAATTCTAGGTTGTAATTTAGATGTTGACAATTTACATACTGAAATGAACAACGGCGTATTTATATTTCCCGATCCATCTCATATGGTAAAACTAGTCAGAAACCTTTTAGGAGAAAAAATGGTTTTATATGACAAGAATATATATA